TCCGATTTCAGTTTAAAGAGGCGAATGAAATGCTCATGAGGGAACGAGAGAAAGCAAAGGAAAATGCTGAATTAGTGGAAGCCAAAACTGAAGAGCATGTAAAGCTACAGTCAGATTTGGAAGAATTGCGACTTCAATTTCAAGAGGCTAAAGAGTTGCTCATGAGAGAACAACGGAAAGCAAAAGAGACTGCTGAAATAGGAGAAGCCAAAACTGAAGAGCATGTAAAGCTACAGACTGATTTGGAAGAAATGCGACTTCAACTTTAAGAGACTAAAGAGTTGCTCATGAGGGAACAACGGAAAGCAAAAGAGACTGCTGAAATAGGAGAAGCCAAAACAGAAGAGAATGTAAAGCTACTGTCTGCTTTGGAAGAAATGCGGCTTCAGCTGCAAGAGACTGAAGATTTGCTTGTGAGGGAACAAGATCGCAGAAAGGAGACAACTGGGATAGAGGAATCCAAAACTGAAGAACAATTAAAGCTACAGTTTACTTTGGAAGAAACCCGACTTCAGTTTCAAGAGACTAAAGAATTGCTCATGAGGGAACAAGAGAAAGCAAAGGAGATTGAAGACATGGAGCAGGCCAAAACTGAAGAAAATGTGAGATTGCGGGCTGCTTTGGAAGAAATGCGACTTCAGTTTCAAGAGACTAAAGAATTACTCATGAAAGAATGTGAGAAAGGAAAAGATAGCACTGCAGGGGCATTTGTTGTACAAGAGGCTCAGGTCATTGATCTTGAAATGGTCAATAAGCTCGTCACTGAAAATGAGATACTTAAGGTAAATTGTTGGTGACTTGCTTCTATGTTTTAAATCTTTAGTAGAGAAACTGGCTTTAAGCTCTATTATACAAACTCAAATATATACCACCACGACATTAAGGTGTATCTACCACGTATTCTGACAATTGTTTCTTCTGTCTAGTGAGTCCCAATTCTAATGTTTGATTCTGGATATCATTTATAGGCTTGAAAAGAAGCCAAAAACAAGGAAAATGCCAGACTACAGTCTGCTCTGGAAGAAATGAACCTTCAGCTCCAAGAGACTAGAGCTTTGCTCACGATTGAACATGAGACTGCAAACAGGACTAGTGTTTGGTACAAGATCTCTACGTTATTAATCAAGAAAAAGTCAATGAATTTACTGCTGCAGAGAGGCCTGTGGCGCCCGATGTCCAGGTTATTCATCAAGTAAAGGTCAATGAGCTCACTTCTGAAAATGAGTTTCCTAAGGCACGTTTTGTGTTTTCATATGTTTTAATTCCCGGATTTGTATTTTTGCTCGTAAACTTCTCCATTATACAGACCTGAATAGTTATCTAGAAGAAATAAAGTATCCTCCATCACCCACCCTCACAGCCTCACCCCTCCCCCAAGCTTGTTGCGGCTTTTTCATTTTCACACATACTTATGGATACCTCTCGTTATGGGCTGTCTAGGATGAAGCCAAAACCCAGGAAAATGTAAAATTACAACCTGTTTTAGAAGGGGTGGAGCTTCAGGTCCAAGAGACTAATCAACTGCTCCTGAAGGCGCAGACACCCGTGGAAAGGATTGCTGACCATGTGTACACTGCGCATGAGACACAGAAGATTTCTATGGAGCAGGTGCCTGCTGCACAAGACATCAAGTTCATTGATCATGAAATTGTCAATAAGCTTACGGCTGAAAATATGCAACTTAAGGTATGTTATAAGTTTATCATGTATGGTATGC